GTAATTATACATACCAACCCTTCGTCACCATAAAAGAAATCGCATGATAACTGGAAAGGAAGAAATCGTTTCCTAATGGAGAGAATATCCCGGCTGTTGCCTGGAGACGACTATGCTGACTAAAATCTTCGAGGTTTTTATCAGACGCCCCATGCATACTATCCAGTTGATGATTCTATATACAGAGTGTCCGGATGAAGGTAAGGTAAAAGGTAAAGTTGTCGTTATGCTTAAATAATTAATCACTACCCCATGAAGACGTATGGGGAAATGGATGTATAGGTCCACATTTTCTTAAACCTCGGCATTAGCTGGAGGCGAGTGATCAGCTTCACGCCCCCGGCCGCTTCCAATGAGTGTCGCCTCGGTACTCATTGGAAAGGAGGTTGGCTGGATCCCAGTGCCAGTCTGGAAGACGTGGAGAAGAGAAAATTCTTGACACTACTGGAACTCTAACTCTGGCCCCTCGGTTGTGCAGCCCATAGTCAGTCGCTATACCGACTACTGATTCCCGGCTCCCCGCACTCCAGAAGATAGAAATCAAAATTATGTAAATACTGGTGTCCAGCGGCATTAGGACTTCTGAAGTCGGAGAGACAAATTCAACTTAAGATGCTACAAAGATGTATGAAGTAAAGAAAATAATAAGATCCCACATGAAAAGAGAAGAAATTCGTTTCATAACTTCTGCAGGTGTGGCAGCTGGGTACGTAAAAATGTGGTCACAACATTGGCACAGAATTGAGACTTTAACCTCCATACAAGATACATGATAAATTCCTACACTGTTGTAACAGACCTCAAATAATCTGGCCGCGCCATAGCTCAAGCGGTTAGTCGCTGGCTTCCCACCGCGGCGCACGGGTTCGATCCCGGGTCTGGTCAAGTGGGATTTGTGGTGGACAAAGTGGCGCTGGGGCAAGTTTTCTCCGAGTAATTCGGTTTCCCCTGCCAATCTTCTTTCCACCAATTGCTCCACAATCACCCTCACCTATCATCTGGGGCTGGTACAATAGGCCAGAAGTGGCTGCAGTACAAGGGACATAGTCCCACCCCACTAACAATTAAAAAAAATTAAAATAATCGAAGATCTCAGATGCAGTGACGTAAATATAGAACAAGTTTCTTATTATAAATGTTTGGGGTATATAGTTAATTCAGATAACACAAACGAACAAGAGATTAAAGAGAGATTAGTGATTGGAAATGAATCATATGTTGCACATTTAACATTGCTTGAAGGTAAATTTATTTCTAAAACAGCCAGAATTAAAATTATACCAGATGTTAATTCGACCAACAGTAAACTATGCCTGCGAAAACTGCACACTCAAAGGAACCATTAAACATAGACTTTAGTCTTAAAAAGGGAAATTCTAATAGAAAGCTTCGGGCCATCAAGAAACCGTGATGGCTCCTGGAGAGTTAAAACAGATGGCGAACTAGATAATCTAATAAAAGGAAGGAACAGTTAACTTCATCAAAGCCCAAAGAATAAGTTGGCTTGGACACATCTCAAGGATGGAGGCTGGACGAACAGTTAAAAGAATATATGACTGGCAGCCACATGCCATAACAAAGAGAGGCCGACCTAAGATTAGATGGAGAAATGACGTAAGGGAAGACCTAAAGGATTTATGAGTTTATAACTGAAGAAGAAGAAGAAGTGGTGTTGTTCCCGTTGAGGTCATTGAAATTTTTTTTCAGTTTACCTTTAAAAGCGCCATGGTGGCCTATGCTGAACATTTCTGCGCCTGTTGACGGTGGGGGTCACTTCCCCACCGCCTTCTTTTTGCTTTTGCCTTGCCCGTTCTTGCGGGCACCTGGGGCTGGCATCCCCTGCCCCACCGCCTTTTCCTTTGATACTCGCAGTTTTAGGCTTGATGCACAAAATATATTAACTGAAAATATAAATTAAGTAAGAAGGATTAATGGACTTTTACAGGGAATTGGGACACACACGTTCAGTTCTCAGCTTCTGTTATTCTGTAGACGAGCTTTAACTTCAAGTGTCGACTTGGAATATCAATGTTCACGAGGAATCCGTTAATTGTAACGAAACTGAAATGCGTTGACTTACAAGTTTTATATATGCTCTGTGCATAGAATGCATCTCAAATGGAGTTGTTTGAACAAATCCATTACAAGGTGCAGAACGTATTTATATCTGGAACTGACAACTTTCAGTCACGTGGCCCGCAGTTCCGGCTTGAAGCTGCAATTGCATGTTTCTCTATATGCAAATAAGAGTGTCAGGTCTCCAATACTCGTTTATAAATTCACATCTGTAAAAGTATGTAGCTTACAAAGAAGGGAAGATAAATTGCGCGAGTGTCGGATTTCCAGCTGCACTGTACAGTGAGATCAATACCTGAAGACCTTATGTTGCCCAAAGCTAATTGTATGTAATTATGCATGTCTCAAGTATTTAAATGTAAGAGATATATTAACACATTACAGTAAGTAACCGGACCAGTTGACAAGACATTAGCAGACACTTGACATAAACAGAAATATAGGTTGAAGGTATCCCTGTGGCGGGCCGTGGTGGCTCATATGGTCATAAGGCGTTGAGGATCCCACATTTTCTGCACGGCCGGCTCACGGGTAACGGTTGGGTTGTCGGCCTTACATGCCGGTCTCCCTTTGCACCCGAAGGGATTCCTGGTGCTCATTTCTGTTCCGAGGCTGGGTTAAACCCCAGGGCCATGTTGCGGCTGGAGGGATTGGGTCAGTTGAGGGATCCAATCACCTCACCAGTGATCGAACCCGTCACCTTCTGGCTTGTATCATGGTGCATCAGCCCACTACGCTACCGCGTGCCCCCATATAAACAGAAATATGTATGTTAATTACAATTAAGTACTAGGTTATGCAGATTTGAATTTTGCATCAGTCTCGTATCTTGCTTCCTGGTTCGCCTTTGACGATAAGTAAATATTTCTTAGTATTTTAAAGCTAAGTTCAGTTTTAATAGCTTATTAATTTTTATTACTTTGCTTTGCGTTGTCTTTTGTATGTGTTTGTTTCCGTCTTTAGCTCGTGCACACTTTGTAACTGGTCCTTGGGCTGTTGAGTTGACACAAAAATAAATAAGAATTTAAATGAATTATTATTATTACTGTGCACTAGTTCATATACTGATCACGGTGGCCGCGCGGTCTGGGGCATGGCCTGTCGAGTACTGGGATCGTGGGTTTGGGTCCCGCTCAGGGCATGGACATCTGTGTGCGTTTATTCTGTGTTTATGTGCTTCTGTGTTGCCTCTGTCGGAGGGGGAGTCCGAATGAAATGTATTCAAAATAAAAATGTATATCTCGGAAACTAATTTTCATACTCAGTAGCAATATCGTCACCACAGGAACAGGTTTAATGCTTGTTGAGGCTAGCAGAGTTGCAATTTCCTACGGCCGTCCAGCGTTGTTTTATAACGTAATATGTACGTCAACATCCTACACGGAAGAGCATTCGGTTCTGGGCCAAAAAAAACTGAGGCTATAGGTTGTCTGTTGCGTGTAAAATCTCCTGGAAAGACATGGAACTCTGAAGAAAATGTCAGTCGCATTAAAGAGCCATTCCAGCGAAGTCCGCGCAAATCAATTCATGCTGCTAGCTTGCAGTTACAAATTCCACGTTCAACACTGCACAATGTGCTAGACAAAAGCCTGGCTCCTCCTAGGAGCATAGGGTAAAGGTAAAGTTGTCCTAGGCCATGAAGGCGTGTGGGGGAGTGGATGTATAGACTCAGGTTTTCTTGATCTCGGTGCTAGTTGGAGGTGAGTGGTTAGCTTCACGCCCCGGCCGCTTTACCCCCGGGGAATAAGCCCTTGGTACCCATTGGATAGGAGGTTGGGTGGGCCCTGCACCCAGTCTGGACGCTGTGGAGAAGAGAAAACTCTTGACCCTGCCGAGACTCATACTCCGACCGTCGGTCGTCCAGCCCGTAGAAAGTTGCTATATCCACTACGCTATCGCGGCACTTTCCTTGAAGGTAAACTGCAACTATTTAAAGTGGATAGGTCAGAAAGTGAAATCCCCCAAAAAGAGACTTGACCTTGCCTGACTGAACTACATTTTTTCTTTAATTTTGCCCATTGCCTAGCGACAGTAATGCTTGGTAAGTGAAGAGTTAGCTGTCAAGAAACTTACCGCTATGAAAACGACTGCCCCGAGAAGGGCTGGCCAGACCCACATGTGGCCGTGCTTTTCCTGCAACACATCAATATAAGAGTCACTTAAGATTTGATCCTATTTGAAACTCGTCTACTGACTTGAGTTTCTGAAATTTACCTCTATATATTATTTACCAAATCCTGTTCAGGAAATTTGAGTGAATCTCTCTCTCTTAGAAAAAATGTCAATACATCATTTAGATGAAAATATAATTCATGTTAAGGAGCGGGAATTTCTTTGCTGCTTTTGTGAAACTTACCACCATAGCTTTCAAAATTGATATTGATGTATCCAGTCCCTCTAGGATGGCTGAAAAAAAGGATAAAACGACTTCATTATGCTACACACATATTACACTTACAGTCGAATTCCTGGCTTGTCACCGTAATGTCAATTTGCTCCTGTCCTAAACACAACACTTTGAGTGCATGCACTCGTGGAGCAACACATAACTATTCATTATTACCCAGCTGGGTCCACAGCGTTTCATTCAGTTCTCTTAAATTCTGAGTACAGCTGCTAGGTATGCTTCCAGTGGACTGAAGCAATTGGGCTTCATGTTCTTCGTCTAAATGCTTTATCTGTGCAAGTTAATTTTGTTTGCACAATCAATGGCTGTCTTCAGTTTACATTCCTTAAATTCGTATACCCTTAACCTAGCGTAATACTGCTTAGCTATATATACTGAAAAACACTGACGTTCTGACAATATAAATGAGAAATTTAACTCAGTATTTCTTATCTTAATTAGTAAGGGCAAAACATGGTACACACTGTATTTCACATGATTTGTTATAGGAAGACGAACTACACAACTTTCCTTTAAAAATACATCAATTTTACTAATTCTTAAAACTAAATTACGGTATTACGGAATTGGCAATGTCAGTCACTTGATTTAATTTCATCTGATTCATGATTTGGGCTTGTGCATATATTTTATCTTATCACAGTGTTCATTATTCGTCAACCCTTAAGATCGTACACTCTAGTTCTCAAGTATGTCTTGTAATGTCGATTTTAAGACTGTTACCTGTTCTTTAGAAAGTTAAAAAAATCAGTGTTGTTCCTTTTCTAAATCCGAAATTTTGTCTGTGTAATATGTTGCGTCTTCACTATCCATAGTACCAAACAAGATTCTGCTAATTCCACCAATGAAGCTAAAAAAGCCTCTCTTATAACGCGATTGAGTACCTTCATTTTCAATTCTGGTTGACTATTTTACAACTAGTTTCATATTTTCTACTTCATTAATCTATTTAAATACCTGACGGTTTTCATAAAATCAGGGATCATTAGTATTATCATTTGTAGTTACCAGTTACAGTAGACCGCAACGTTCAGAACACAAGAACTCTTTAATTCTTTGGTCAACACCCACATTTTCGTGGCGTCACAGCCCGAAAGACCAGTACGTTCGAGAACAGTACATACCGACGTATACAGCAAGCTACGGAATGTTCTGGAAGGTCTGGAACCAATCATAATACACCTATCGCAATATCGAATCGAAATAGTGTGACCCAATCAGAGAACCCTCAAAGGGCGTCAACCGAAATTGCGTAGTTGCTTGAGGTTGTGGGAAATCTATGCCATGTATGCTGTGCAATTAATTAGTAAGTATCAGTAAATATGGATTATAACTTGATCTTGTGGGATGAAATGTTGTGATTTGTGAAATATATATTTTGTTGCTTCTATTCTATTTTTCAAGGTTTTGTTTAAATTTCTCGGTACGTAGTCTTGACTTCTGTTTTGAGGTGGCGTTGATATCCGAATTATAGCTTTATTGTAGAATGCTTTAGTGATTCTTGGTCAGTGAAATTGTGTTTGACTTTGGTTATAGCCAAAAGTATACAGTCTTCGCCTTTAGTATAATAACAGTTAGTTCGTAGAGCGCCAAGTGTTTCAGAGCAATATCTGGATTCAATGTTTAGGATTTGAAGAGTAAGATGTACAGTAAATCAACAGATGAAGCTGGTAAACAGCTCATTTCAGCTTGTGTCCTGTTTCTGGGGTTTCTTGTCTTACTTTTTGATCTTGAGAATGGAGGTGATTTGGTTCTCTGAAACGTCAGGCTGACTTTGAACTACACCTTACAACCCTAAAGATGCACTCTTTCATAGTTACAGGTAAAACTCGTATCCAAATATTTACCATATTTTCATTTTTGATTCTCACACACAACGCACTGGTGTAAAATCTGCACTGAGATTTTTTTTAAGGCTATTTTGAGGGACAGTCTCATCTTGGGAATCAAGAAATATAGCAGTTTGTTTGCCATGAAGCAGATCAAACTGAAAAGTTGTCTGTCTGTTGCTGTACAGCAGTTTTTGACTTTGGTAAATAATTTCCTGTACAGTTTCCGTAATTTAAGAACTTCACATGTGATATGTGACGTGAATTTTTTGGAGATGAACGTAGATATAATGATATCAGTTCATTAAATTGTGTGTTCTGTTTTGAAATGGCGTGTTTTTGCCAGTTAGCAACTTTATCCAAATCTTGATTTAGAAAGTGGCGCAATCATGGTCTCTGAATATAATGGATCTAGTGATTGCGGACCTTGAAGTGATTTTCTTATTGACTTTATCACTTGTAAATAAGAATATGATGGATGTAATACATATGGACCCATGTTAGGTGGGTCCCTTGTCACAACAGGATGGAGTGTCCTTAGGTTGCAGATGTGGGACACAACCTTCACGTATGGAGGGTAGCTGTGAATAAATGAAGTAGTCCTGGACAACCGACAAGAAGGGGTCCTCCATCCTGTTGGTTGGGTGTGGGGCTAACAACTCGTCACAGTAAGAGGTAAGTTTGTTACGAAGATCACAAGAAACCTCAGATCTGGACGCATTCTTTGGATAAATGACCTGAGTGAAAGAAACTGGATACGAGATAGGTCCTCGGAATATTAGATGTATAGGGAAGGTTTGCTCAGAAATATCAAAATATAAGTTAGATTTAGTGGGAGTACAGGAAGGCAGATGGGACAGAGGTGTCACCAAAACAGCAGGTGAATATACATTTTTCTACAAAAAGGGGAATAAGGATCATGAATTAGGTACAGGTTTTTTGTACATAAGAGAATCATGTCACCAGTTAAGAGGGTAGAGTTTCTAAGTAATACAATATCATACATAATACTAAAAGGTCCCTGGTGTGATATTCTGAATATATTCATGCCCAAACAGAGGATAAAATTGATGATATGAAGGACAGGTTCTAGGAAGAACTGAAACATATATGATAAATTCCCTAAATACCATATGACAATTTTGTTAGGAGATTTCAGTGCTGAAGTAGGAAGGGAGGACATTTTCAAACCAACAATTGGGAATGAGACTTTGCACGAAATTAGTAACGTTAGTGGAGTTAGAATAGTAAACTGTGCCTCAACCAAAAATCTTATTGTCAAAAGTCCAATGGTCCCGCATCATAACATTCAAAAGTTTACTTGGACATCTGCTGATCGAAAGACGCACAACCAAATTGACCATATTATGAAAGACAGGAGATAGCAATCAAGCATACTTGATGTTTGATCACTCAGGGCTGCAGATTGTGATGGCAAAAGTTGGCAAGACACTGTCAGTGGGTAAACAAGCAATGCACAGAGTTCATATGGAGAGGTTCAGTCTCAAGAAATTAAACAAGGTGGAGGGTAAAGAGCAGTTTCACGTTGCAATCTCAAATATGTTTGCAGCTTTGGAAAATTGAGGTGGATATTAATAGAGCTTGTGAAACTATGAGAGACAATATAAGAATTTCAGCCAAAGAGAGCCTAGGTTATGAATTGAAGCATAAGCCATGGTTTGGTGAAGGATACTCAGAATTATTAGACCAGAGAAAACAAGCCAAATTTCCAAGTTGGTTGAGGCACTATGATACAAGCCAGAAGCTTGCGGGATCAAATCCCGAAGAGGTCATTGGATTTTTTCAATTGACCTAATCCTTCCAGCCGCACTGTGGCCCCGGGGTCGACTCAGCCGCTAACAGAAATGAGCACCAGGAATATTCCTGGGGGTNAGTTTCACGTTGCAATCTCAAATATGTTTGCAGCTTTGGAAAATTGAGGTGGATATTAATAGAGCTTGTGAAACTATGAGAGACAATATAAGAATTTCAGCCAAAGAGAGCCTAGGTTATGAATTGAAGCATAAGCCATGGTTTGGTGAAGGATACTCAGAATTATTAGACCAGAGAAAACAAGCCAAATTTCCAAGTTGGTTGAGGCACTATGATACAAGCCAGAAGCTTGCGGGATCAAATCCCGAAGAGGTCATTGGATTTTTTCAATTGACCTAATCCTTCCAGCCGCACTGTGGCCCCGGGATTGACTCAGCCGCTAACAGAAATGAGCACCAGGAATATTCCTGGGGGTAAACGGCAGCTGGTGCATAAGGCTGACAGCCTCGCTGCCATCTGTGAGCCGATTGTCTAGAAAATGTAGCCTCGACCTCTCACAACCCTATGGGCCTCCACAGCATGTTAACGGGGATTCCTTTACAGGAAATATCTGAAGGACAAAATTGATGAGCTTGTAACGAACAGTAAGAACAAGAACATTATAGACCTTTATAGTGGAATAAATGAATTTAGGAGGGGTTTCCAATCTAGAAGTAACTTAGTGAAGGATGAGAATTGTGATCTGCTTGCAAATTCCTACATCATTTTGAATAGGTGGAAGAAATAATTCTCTCAGTCATTGAATGTACATAGGGTGAGTGAAGTTTGGCAGATAGAAATACATACACCTGATCCTAGCCCTTTTGAGGTTGAAAAGGTATAAATCGCCAGGTNGCATACATCTGAGTCATTAGTGCCTGATCCTAGCCCTTTTGAGGTTGAAAAGGTATAAATCGCCAGGTAGTGATCAAATTCCATCAGAACGTGAAATATTACATTCTGAGATCCGTTAGCTAATTAATTATGTTTAGAATGAGGAAAAATTGCCTGATCACTGTAAGGAATCGATTATTGTACTAGTTCACAAGAAGGTTGAAACTGGTTGTAGTAATTATCATGGGATGTCACTGCTATTAACTTCATACAAGGCTGTGCCATAGCCCAAGCAGTTAGTCGCTGGCTTCCCACCGCTGTGGCATGGGTTCAAACGCGTGTCTGATCAAGTGGGATTTGTGGTGGACAAAGTGGCGCTGAGGTAGGTTTTCTCCGAGTACTTTGTTTTCCCCTGCCAAGCTTTCTTTCCACCAAATTCTCCATCATAATCACCAGGGGCAGGCTCAATAGGCCAATCAGTGACCGCCATGCCGAGTGGAGCCAACTGGACTCCCCCCCCCCCACTATGCGAATTTAAATTTTTAATTTAACTTCATACAAAATTTTATCCAATAGTCTTCTCCCAGGGTTTGTGTCGTGACCCAAGATGTTGGCTGGTCGACTGAATTACGTTGGCCGAGCGGTAGCGTAATAATTCAGTGATGATGATTGTCAGTTGGCTGCCTGAGCGTGTATTCCAACCACAAAGAGCAAATACTCACTACAGATTATAGAGGATTTATTGAGACTGTGTGTATATTACATACAAGCGCTGGTAGACGTAAGCCTGGCCAGCCTTCTCATAGCCCCAACTCAGACAAAATGCTCCCTTCAACTTCTCTCTTGTTCTTAAAACCTAATCTAAACTAAGCTTGCAGCCCAATGTCTCGAGACGTGAACCCTCACGCAGATCAAGTTACACCAGCGGTTGTTGAAGGATAGGTCCCAGACGAAACACTCCAGGACTCCACTAATTTATGAAAATGGCAGGGGTAGATATAACTTTTTTTTTATGGAAGGAGGTCAATCTCTTGACATGCTATAAATTTTAGTAGAGGGCATGACCCCAGACATCAGACTCAAGTTCCTAAAACTAAAAGGGGTTGCGAACCTTCGCGACATTTGTACAGATGAAATTTTGGGGGATCGTTGGTGTGGACAATATTGAGATGGATCTTGTAGAGATAGAATAGGGTGGGATGTTATGGACTGGATTGATTTGGCTCAGGATAGGGACCAGTGGATGGCTCTTACCATCATGGTAATTACCCTTTGTGTTCCGTAAAATGCTGGGACGTTCTTGAGTAGCTGCTTCTCAAGAAGGGCTCAGCTTCATGAGTGAGTGAGTGCATATGGATCTTCAGTGATTTATGTAATTACCTTGGTGTGTCTCCCGAAAGCCGGAATGGTTGAAGAGCTCGTGGTTGATTCCTAGGCAATGAGCAAAGTTCCTGCTACAACTCCAGTTGGAATGCATCCATTGCTATCCAGCGGCTAGCAATCTCACAGTGGAGTTTCCACCATTACACACGAATTGTTGGAAACAGCTTTTGCATAGCAGTGGCCGAGGTTAACCTGAGGTGGCACAACAAGGAGATGTCTCTAAGAAGGATGCTAAAATAATGCCGGTCGGAGGACTGAAGAAGAGGCGTAGGCACCGAAACCGCCAAAATAAGAACGAACTCACCCACGGCAAAGGTGGGTGCCAAAGGAAGTTGGCTGTCACCCACAGAGGGATGAGCCACCGTGAGAAAGTGGCACAGCGCAAGAGACACAGGCTTCAGGGAAGCAGTCAAGAAGGACTACCAGTTGAACAAGGACAGCAGAAGAATCGGACCAGAAACCAATCTGCAAGATGAATCCGGAAAGGACGGACTCCTGGGTGGAGACAAGTGGTGAGTCAGTAAGGCACCAAGGAAACCAGGGATCAAGACTTCCAGAACCAGCTACGGCTTAGAAGCAAGAGGGAATTCAATGAAACACTCAAGAACCAAATGGATTGGAAATTACAAAGCAAATTGCTGGATTTCCTATCCAGTTGCAAAGAAGTAAACACTTGACACTTTGGAGAAGGTTGACCACTTCCAAAGTGAAAGAGATTTTTAAATAGCGCATAGAGGAGGAACTGGTAATGCAGAAGCACCTGCCTCGCCAGCAGGAATTGAAAGCGAAAGATGACGAGAACATGGAGCTGCTCAGGACAAGCACCCTTGAAGGGGGTGCATGAAAGGAAGGGAAGTACCGTTAGGCTGTTTGGGACAACCACCTTTGGAAGGGAGAAATGTGGCATGCCGCCAGAGAGCTGGAATGGCTGAGGAAATCCTGGTTGAATTCCTAGGCAACAAGCAGTGTTCCAGCTACAATCGGAATGCATCCATTGCATTCCGGTCATTCTGTCTATATCTAGCTATCATTCTAACAGTGAAGATTCCACCATTACACACGAATTGTTGGAAACAGCTTTTGCATAGCAGCAGCCGAGGTTAACCCTTCGACATGGTATTCTATATTGAGTTCGTGTGCAAATTATAAAGGTTCAGCCTAGACGAGATGAGTAAAGTTGTTAGTGTAGCTCCGACTAGAGCAGAAGGAAGCTTGCGTCTGACAAAGGGAACAGAAGACTTCACCGAGATTAGCGGTGCAAGAAGTAATTATAACAGTGAAGTTGTGGGTGATTGTTCTTGTGACTGTAACAGAGACTGTCCAATAAATTTTCATTCAAATCCGATAGCCACACAGTTTCTTGTTGCGTTACATATGAAACGCTTGACAATATATAGCTGTCAGCAGAACAAATAAGTAATCAACTCATCACCACATTTGTCAAAATTGAGTTTATTATCTATGTTAAAATTACACAGCATGTTTCTTCTCACTTGGAGCCATTGTCAGGCGATACACTATTTAAAGCTATGAAATGTTGAGTTATAATACTATGGATCCATATTACAAATTGTTATATTATTATTTATAAAATAATCCAATTTAATCTATATCATTATTCACACAGGTCAACCCAGTTTTTAAATTTTTTTTAGTTTTAAGAAAATGATGTGAATCTTTGTAAAACTGGTATGTGTAATTGTGTTACATTTTTAAGTACTATTTTCCATGCATTTTAATCTTTTGTTGTTATCAAAACAGTGTGCTATCATATATATCAACACTAGATAACTCAAGTTGAATATTCTCAGGTAATGTCTTTTTGTTTCCTGATGCTATTGAATTATTCTTACGTACTGTCTTGTCCCTGATACTATTATGCTGTCATTGTTACCTGAAACATAGTTTAGCTTTTTAATTCAGTTGTACATGTATAGTTCAGATATCTCCTCATTTGTATTTTATTATTTATTAACGATACATTTTAACTATACCCCTTGATTTGTTAATTGATATTACCCTTTATAAGTTAAGTTTAATGTTATGTAGGTGGCTTGTGATTTGGTGAGGCTAATTTGTATCGGCCAGGGCTGAGTTACGTGCACATGAGAATTGTCCGTATAAAATTTTGGCACCACATGAAGTCATGAGGCTGAAACTGTTCAGAATTGTCAAGTCTGAGAGGTTCAGTTGCATGTTTGGCATAGTATCAAATAGTTGTGTGTCATATTGTCCTCTTTATCAGTATGGCCTATAAGACAGTTGTAGTCTTATATGCGATTCTCTCCTTAATAGCTCTTCCATTCCTGCTACAGAAGTAGTCCCTTATTGCTAATATTTTATCTCAGAATCCTGTTGTATTGGAGTATCACTCGTGCTTTCTCTTCTCTCTATAATGAAAAACACTTTTTTATTTCGGATGATATCAAACTGACATTCAACTCACTAAAATGTCAGTTAAATCATCTTGTTTGCTCTGGCCCTCTTTACCAAGAAATGGAGAATATGTAGCACTGCGTTAATTTTGTCATGAATGATATGACTCTTAGGCAGGTGAAGATAAAATTTTCCCTTTGTTTAATTAAGCACTTTGCCATGGATATGTCCTGGGGATTGGAGGTATAGGTCCATTTCGGAAGTGGTCGGCTTTGCCTTAAGGGATAAGACCCCAGTGCCTACTGACTAGGGGGCTGCGTGGGCCCCAGAACTGGTCTGAATGCTGTGGAGCAGAAAAATCTGGAACAACCACGGCTGTCAGTCCCTCAGCCATCTGCTATTCTGGCTCCCATGGAATGTAGGATAAAGTATGCTTATTTTGTGTGTTGTGGTAGGTGTGATTTGAATATCATCATGTAATTCAGTGAGTGAGAAACAGTGGCATTAAATGCCGTGCCACAGAACTACCGTCTAGAAATGCTAAGGCTGCTTGGGAGTAAATACATTTGAACGCAAAAGTGCCCACAATAGTTTCACATATTTGTTCAAATGAACACACTTGTAGATAATGTTAAAGCCTTATCTTTCCTCTGAACATCATGCTTTTTGCCATGTATCGGCAAAAATGTTGTACCATGTGATGAACATTCTCCTGATCCCTTCATCTGTGGCAGTTCTACTGCAAGCAAACTGAGCAGCCCCAATTGGCTTGTGGCATGCAAAGGGTTGAATCGGGTGAAGAAAGATATAGCATTGAGATGCAGATGCTGGGGTAACAGGAACTGAATTCAAGACTAAATGTGAGAAAATTTTAAATCAAGAATTATTGAAGTGGAGATTCCACTGTAGTTGGCTTTTCTAAAGCCAAAATCAAATTATTTTGAATGCACAGCACATAAAACTAAATTTTGCCAAGATTTTTAAGATACTGCCATATCTTCTGGGATATAGCACCATGTAGTACATTGAAAGTCTGCCGAAGTTTCAGAGGAACATTTGCCTCCATCTACATGGTCTGAGAATAGGCCAAGCAAGAACCCTGCGTCAAGCAGGTGGAGGCAACATATTCCTCTGAGACGTCAATTGACTTTCAACAGACTGCACAGTCTTATATTGCAGAAGATAGAAGTCTTCTTAACCATCATTGTGAGAACCTCAGATCCTTTACAAGAGACAACTTGGGCCATTACACTTCTTGATACATGAAGGAGTAGAAACGTCCATCAGTAGTGGCTGCAAGATGTAAAGGCAATCATTTGTGTTCTCGTATTAAATTTGTTGCACTAGATGGACCTTGCTACTTGTTCATGTTATGCAGTAAGTTTGTCCTTCTGTGATGCACATATTCTGTAGATTCGGCGTCTCCTGATTATTGCCTCTTCCAAAGACCAAAAGGGATCTTGGCTGGGTGCACAAGGTGTGGCAATAAAGAAACCGGATTACTTTTATGACTCATTTCCGGCCACGTCATTGACGAAGAGGAGGGTAGGGCATTGACCCTTGGACTTCCCTCTACCGTCACACAAAGTTTCATTCACGTGCATCGGTTAGTCTGGCCGCGACCATTGTTAGAAGCGGATCGTGTTTCTGAGCTCCGTCGGAATAATGCTGAGTGCTAATGCAGAACAACGTGCTAACATCAAATTCCTCACAAAACTTGGAAAATCTGCCACTGAAACTT